ATAAGATCGATCCAACATGGACAGCAGACAACAAAACCACAAAGATTAGAGAACTCCTGATACTATGAATGGGCCCGTTTTCGACAAAGCCGTGTCCTCACCGTCCACTGAGGATGGGACTGCTACCATCTCTGCCCGCTGCCTCTGGCTGCTGCTCTCCCGGCGGGTCGCCGCTCAGTTCGGCCTCGGCCTCCCCTGCCGCCTCCCCGGCATCGCCGCGCCACCTCCGGCGGGGAACGTCGGACGCTCTGTCGGTGGAGGAGCCGGCCCAGCGCTTCAGCTGCTCCCGCCGCTTGGTCTTTGCCGTGTCCCCCATTAAATTAACCGCGGAGGACGGTGTTTTTAAAACTAAAACCTGTGCTGGCGGGGCCAGACACACCCTCCATGTGTATACTTTCGCTTCCTGGTTCTGGGTCCTGAGCTGTGGGGGCTCAGCTCGTGCCCGAGAGCGCCGGGGACGCGCTAAGATAACGTCTAGCTTTTTTTTTTTTTTTTTTTTTAAATAAACTTTATTTACAAATACAGAATATACAATTGCAAACAATCGTATGCTCAAGGTGCTGGGGTAACAAATTCATAGGATTCCATGACCAAAACAGGGAGAAAAAAAGATAGTATCTAGCTAGCTGTTTCGAAATGAGAAACGTGTGCGCGCATTGTGAACCGCACTTCCTGCAATTGTGGTAGCTGATGCATGACTGCAACCTCTAAATACATCCTCCAAAACGACATAGAAAATACACAGTGTGGATTTAATTATCAGCGTTTATTAGCATGTTATAAGGACACACACACATATATATAGGGACCCCTATTTCATCATTTTGCTTCATTCTATCTCTATTCTCCCACTCTGCAGAAGCAGAATCTATTAATTCAATTTCTAACTTTATGCTCTCTGCTTTTTCTCATAGTAGCTTCACCTTGTTTGTTCCTGTTTGGCTGATACACCATCCTGGAGAGAAATATCAACTGTGCTGCTGCCATCAACACCTTTGTTTATAGATGTTCAAAATTGGCCTGTTTTTCAGTGTAGGCCTGTTTCTCTGACTGTGACTGGCTGGATGTGCTCTCTTCATCCTCTGACATGGGAGCTGGCTCGGAGCTCGTCTGCCTGGCTGTGTGTTTCCTGGATGGGGCCTCCTTTTACAGCTGCTTTTTGTATCTTTGCTTCTATTTCCTTGAACCCCAGTCGGCCTCAGCAGATGGCCGTTCACACTGATACTGGTTCTGCTGGAGGTTTCTTCCTGTTAAAAGTGGTTTTTCCTCTCCACTGTCGCTACAAGCCTCAATGAGTCGATGCAATCAACTGGTTTTCCTTAGATAGAAAACTTTGAATGAATTTGACTGTATGATCTGGTGAACTGTACAGTGCCTTGAGATGACATGTGTTGTGAATTGGTGCTATGTAAATAAACTGAATTGAATTGTGTGTATATATATTTGTGGTTTGAGAAAATGGGGGCCTCCGCACCCTTACTATATCACCACTGTTACCACAAGTGTTCATTTCAGCTATTTAGTAGATTCAAGTTATCTGATTGAATAATTACATTTGAGTAATACAAGACATTTTAAATCTATCAATCTAGAAACAACTACGGTTGCTAACTCCCTGAAAAAAGGGGCACCTCATGTGTTTGCCAGCTGATCCAATTGCCTTTACCCCTCCTGGTGTGGTGATTTTTTTTAGCCCCCCTTTGGGTGTGAAATTATCTTTTAAACTACTTGACTCAAATCTATATTCAATTAGATGCATATTTGTGAGTGACATGAACACTTGGAAAACAAATGGTTATCTAGCATTTCACTTTAATACAAAATAGCAAACTTTGCTGAATAACATAAGCATCTTAAACATAAGCCTATCCTGCTTAACTTCAAACTGTAAAAATAAATATTAAACAATAAATAAATAGTGCACCTTTTTCGTGCAACAGCAAACTCGTGTAAACGTGTAAACATATTTGTGCCTTAAATGCAATGGCTGTAGGCTACAGTTGTAAAACAGAAAAAAAAATAATAATTAGCTCAATGCCACATTATGTGGCGATAGGCTACTTTTTCCACTTGTATTTCCTCTGAGCTCTTGCAGCAGTGAGTAGTTGTTTGTCTTTGAGTGCTGCACAGTAAAACTCTGCACAAGACAGTTCATAAATGAGGCTGACAATAAGCTCAGCTTTAATAAATTCAGTGGAACATTTGTTCTGCACATCAGTCCATTTGTTCTCCATTCAGGAGAAAATCCTCTCCACAAAACCAGTGGAAGATGGGATGCTGAGGACAAATGATACAGCAGCTTGGATGTTGACAAGGTTCCTTTGGACTGCAAGGATCCTTTTTCCTGAGCGAGGTGCTCCAGAAGACTGTTTGCAGTTACACATTCTTCATACAGATCATTCATGGACATGCTCAGACTGCTCTGTTGTCTCCCGCCGTCTTCTCTGTGAGCAACACTTGGCTCAGCCAATGGGATGAGGGTATTCTGGATCGTTACATATATGTTGTCAGCTCATTGGTTACAACTCAGGACAGGGCCTGGGAACAATTTTACCCTAAGTTTTGTATCTAAAGTGCCCTTGTTCTTCATTTTCCATTAGCTTTTTACTGACTATTTTATAATTTCACAGTAATACCGGACAAAGTGAGTTCTTTTTCCACTAAATACAGGACGGGTTCTTCTATTTCTAAATACAGAACAATTCCTTTTTTCAAAGGACGGTTAACAACTCTAGACACAACCATTACAGCATTGTTTACTCCTCTGTGCTGTTGACCAGTTAGTTACACACACTGTGGGATGGCATCCCATTCTTTGACCAGTATTGGTCCTCATTGGCCAATTTTAGTTAGAAATTGGCCAATTAGGATGTATGTCCAAACTGAATCCATTAATGTTCGATAGTATTGCAGTCAGGACTGTAGGGAAGCCATTCCAACCTTTCCATTAATCCATTCCATCTTGCTTTTAGTGTTGGGGGGTGTTGGCCTAGTGGTTAGAGCAGTGGGCTTGTGCTCTGAGAAGGTTGCAAGTACTGTACCAGGTTCAATCCCCACAGCCTCCATTCTGGGTCCCTGACCAAGACCTTTAACCCCCCACTGCTCCCCTGGCGCCACAGAATGGCAGCCCACTGCTCCAAAAGGGGATGGGTTAAATGAAGAGAGTGAATTTACCCATTGTGGGACAATAAAGGGATTTACACACACATCTTGTAGATATGGAATTGCCGCCTGTTGCTAAAATAAATGATAAAGCTGCAGAGAGAGATGTAGTCTAGAGGGGAGAATCTGTTGAAATGATTTTGAACTGGTGTCATGTTATTCCACCAAAAACCAGTAGGTTCATGAGAGCACATTGGAGTTTTCGCTAAGGACCCACAATAGCTTGTTTTTTTTTGTGTAAACTGATGAGAGAGTGAAAGTGGTCAGAGTCTGATTCTTTAGCTGAACCAAAAATCTGCTGCAAGACATGGAACTTATCACATCACTAGTATGCTTGAGCTATTTTGCAAAGAAGAATGAGAAGGAAGGGGAAAGTCTCCATTGTAACAAGCTGATAGAGACATTCAGAGCTGCTACATTAAATACGTAGCAGCTCTAATCATAACAAAAAGTAGTTCTACAGATAGTTCTACAGCTTTGGTCACTCAAGACTTTCTTCATCATCAAATCAAAATTTGTGTCAGAATACCGGTATTATAACTTCACCCAATAAAAACGCAAAACTGTTGCCATTTTTTTTTCTTCCAAGAAGCCAGACTCAGAGTGAGTCACATTTGTCATTACCTTTGACTTTGTTTCCTTTTCTGTACCATAGAAAGTAGTCCTGACCTTGTGCTTTTGTATTCCTTTATGTCTGCTTCCTGTTCTTACAGCAGGCCAGGGCAGATGGTCACCCGCCCATCCTGAGTCGGGATCTGCTGGGGGTCTCTGTTAGAGCAGGGGTATACTCTGCTCTTGAAGGAGACTCCTCTGTTACTCACTGCTTTGTGTTAGTTTATAATAGGTTGTTGAATTAAAGCATATATCAAGGCTTTTAAGTTTAAAATCTGATTTCTGATTAAAAATAAAGTTAATTTGACTTACTGTATTAATTTCCTTCTTACCTTCCCATTATTGCATATTGTATTTGGTGTTAATTATCATTACAACTTAACTATTAAACTGAAATAAATTGGGTAGTGGTTTTTTCAGGTTGTCATCATATAAATACTTATGTGTTGGGCTACTTTTAGCTGAAGGGCAGACATCATTTGTTTGTTTTCTCCAGTAAGATTATTTGTTAAAGATTTTAGATTAGATTTTCCTTTAGATTATGCAAACTAGATCCAACCATACAAACTTAATGGGCTATTTTAATCTTTTGGCTTAATTGCTCATAATGAAAATGAACTTTTAGTGCATGAAAATTGGATTTAGAGGCATTTAATCAATACAAAAACAATCAATGTTAATCCTATGGTGTGATCTCTGAGTGTTTCTGTACACATTCCAACATGGACATAGGGTCAAATTCCATGCTACATTTTTCCTATGTGTGCTCAGTTGTGTCTCTCTGCAGTCCAGGATCAACAGAGACAGAAAGCCACTGACGCAAGTAAGTATGCATTTCATTTGCATTTATTTTGCTATTAGAATATTACAATACTCTATTGTCGACCAGGTTGGAGTTTAGTAGTTTATCACGCAGCACTAAAGGAAGCAGATGTTTAAACATGTTGCTTTGTGTTTTAAACTGAGCATGGAAAAGTTCCCTTTACACACAGCAGGGCGATGAGTTAAGATCTAAACAGACCTTGTGAGACTTGTGTCAGCAATTACCCATGTGATATTACGCCTTCTCATCCCACCTTCTTGCGCAATGCAGTGTTCTTGCAGTTACTGCTTTTAAAACAGGAATACAAATTGAAGCAGTTTCCAAACTTAAAAAATGTGTCTTCATTTTAAAATCAGAGCGAGACTAGCATACTTCTTTCTGCTTTTACCTTACACAACAAAATATTGCTTTATATTTCCACGAAGATTTTAAAATATTACAAAATACCTTATTTATATGAAGGTCTGAAGCATGTTTGGGACAAAACCAGTGGCGGTCCATTCGATCCCACCTTACACTCTGATCCGTCTTGCACAAGAGTGGCTGGCAGAAGACACCCCAAACTTTGACCCAGCAGGAGTTTGCGTTGGATCAGAGGAAGTGGAGGCTAAGTTGTTGTGTAAAACTCCACACACTGTGCTGGCAGGGAGCCCTTTCTTCACAGCGGTGTTTACTGAGGTGGGCTGCACCGTGGACTGGATTTACCAGGAAGGAGAACAGATTGGTAAGCATCCTAATCTTAAATACCTGCTCATACTTCTCTTTGCTGATGTCCTTCAGTCCAGCCTTATTTCTCCCAATTATGTCCTAAACATTATACATAGAGATCAAACATCACAAGACTCAGACAGCAAATCAAATTTAAAAAAGGAACTAAATCACAAAAAATATTTATTCACCTTAAAAACAAGAAAATATGACATCATGCTCACAAAAGCAAAAAAAAAAAAAAAACATCTAACAGTTCATAGTGAATTATATTTTTTCCAAAAATATTAGTTTTTTTAAGTATATTTCTTTATGTTTTTAAAAAGCTGTGAAAAAAATTCTTATGACAGTAATTTTAATGTCAGACCTCCTTTGTTAGATTGGCCTAGTTAAAGTCTGACTGAAGCATGATTCTAAACAGGCTTTCTGTGTGGATGAATCGATGCACAGCTGTAAAGTATAAGGGGTCATCATTTCTCCACAGTAATGTGAAAGACAAAAACATTGTGGCAGCTTTTCCTGCAGAGGCTGGCAGAACCAGTTATAGATTTAACAGCCCCGAATATTTCAGATAGCCTGAGGAAATCTAATGTTTTCCTTGAAGAGAAATTTTTTTTGCAGCACAGTTCTGTACTTTAATGACTGTCTTAAAAATGCAGGAGCACAATGCTTTTAATTAGTTTGTCTATGTTACTGTTCTATCTGAAAAGTATTTAATTGTCGGTGGGTTTGATGTGGCTGTGTGCTAAAGGTTAAGATTGCTCACAGTTTGATCCAGGTGTGCAGAGACAGTAATAGAGTCAGTGTGTACATCTGCTCAGAAGCATAAGGATTGCAAGTGGAGCAACAAACTCCTGACATAGGTGCGGCAGAAAGGTGATGCAGTGGTTTTATTACTAAAGCCATCCAGTCAAACCAGTCATAATGTACCATCAATCCTAAAATACTTTTAGAGCCACAGCTGTTCAAAGTTATCCTATTTTTACACAGACTGTCTCAGTAGAACTTAGTGTTATTACTTATTTGCAAGGTAAATGCAAACAAATGAACTGCAGAGAAGTGGAAAACACTGAACCATGGAACAAGTGCTGCTGGCTGCTTATGCTATATTTGTTTATTTATAAAGTTGAAACCTGGATCTAAAAAATGACATCAAACTCAAATCAAGCATCTCCCAGATCCAATGACTGGATCACCTACTGTGAGCAATACAAGGGAAAAGCAGTCTTTCTCTCTGCATGTTGTGCTTTCAAACCCCACAGCAACATGTTAGCTTACTGAGGAATGCAAGCATGTTTTAAAAGATGGTACTCATTAGTTATACAAATAAACAGTTTTTTTTTTACTCAGGTGACCCTGACCTTATGAGGATAAGGACAAGCTCACGAGTTTTTGTCAAATATTGGGGTTCATCCATCCATCCATCCATCCATCCATCCATCCATCCATCCATCCATCCATCCATCCATCCATCCATCCATCCATCCATCCATCCATCCA